CACCTGCTAGTAAATTATTTGCCATGTAGAAATATCATTTCCACCAAAAACAGAGATTGATCAGATTAGTGATGTCTGACTGCTATTATTTTGAACACGCCCCTTTCAATGAGTGATTCAATGACACAGAATCAGCAGCATGCATGTCGTGACTGTTGGATCTGTTGGATTTCTGACTGATAGTAAATTATTTGCATGTAGAAATATATTTCTGACTGCTATTATTTTGAACACAACTGTACATAAGGACATCATCAGCAAATAAGGCACATTTATGATCTTGTTGGCCATAGAGATAGCTGTGTCAGAACAGATAGCAATAGCAAGTGGTTCCATTGCTAATGCAAAAAGTAAAGGGAAAATGTCACGTCTATGGTAGTGAGCTCTATCAAACCACAGCTTGGGGTTCCCCAGGGCATGGAATCTAAGCACAAGCCTGCTTGTTCACCAGGGCCCCTGATGGTGGGGATGGATTTGCAGCAGGCTGGGACCAGGTTGCAGTCCCCAGGTACACCCAGCTGAGGTGAAGGAGACCGCTAGTGGGAGCAGGGGGCAAGGGAGTAGACACAGGGAATCCAATGGGCAAGCCAAGATCAGGACAGGTGGAAAACTAGCAAGGTCAGGAACAAATCTGGAGTCGGTACACAGATAGGCAACACAGGATATACAGCGGAAACACACAGGAGCTCCAACAACATGAATTTGCTCAGGTAATGTGGCCTAGTCTGAGAACATCTTAAATAGACAGGCAGACAAGGAGGTGGGACAGGAAGTGATGAAAGGGAAGGACATAAAACCCCGTGAATAGCAGACAACACCCACAGGTGAGCACAGACAACACACATGTGAAGGAATCAAGAGCAGCAAGGAGGTAAGAGTAAACACACAAGAGACTGCAAGCTAACTTGTGACAGTACCCCCCTCTTATGAGGTCTCTCCATTTTTTTAGGGCCAGGCTAAAGGGGAAACCTCTGATGAAACAATTCCACCAGACAGGGTGCAGAAACATCAGTAGAAGGAATTCAACACCTTTCCTTAGGACCATATCCCTTCCAATCAATTAGATACAAGAACTTCCCTCTGATGAATTTGGAATCCAAGATTTGCTTGACTTCATACTGATCCGAGGTACTCGCTATTGGGGAAGAATGATGATGAGGACAGGAAAATCTGTTGATGATATACAGTCACAGAAGAGAAACATGGAAAAACATTAGGGATTCTCAGATGTGAAGGGAGGCGGAATTTGAAAACAACAGGATTGACCTGGCGAAGGATGATAAGGGGACCAATGAACCGAGGAGCAAATTTCATAGAGGGTACTTGTAGATGGATACTCTTGGTAGAGAGCCAAACCTTGTCACCCGGGAAATATTTGGGACTCACCCAGTAATGACAATCTGCAGCTACTTTGTACTTAGAAGTTGACAGATGTAAGTTCTTGGAAACATTTGCCTCGGAAGGAGTAAGAATAGGAGAACATACGACAGGAAGCTGGGATGGAGCAGACACCAATAACCGGGATGAAGGGTCTGGTGAGGAGGGCAGCAAAGAGGGTAAGGAACTAGAGGTGGACAACACTGGAGGGGGGCCCGTAATAGGAGTAGGCAGGAGAGCAGCCTTACTACAAGATACATCTTGTAAGGTCTGGCAATGTTGAGGGAGCATTGGAGAGGTGGTGGCCACTGCCACGGGTACAGTGCGAGGTGGGCGGACATAACAAGACCTAATTAGATGACCTTCAGCCCCACACAGTAAAGGCATAGACCAAATCTTAGGCGACGCAATCGCTCTTGTGGAGTAAGGTGTGTTTGGGCTTACTGCATGGGCTCTTTAGTTGCATGGGCTCTTCAGTACGGTTGCAGAGGTAAGCTGATCAGGGACTTTCTGGAAAACAGGAGCAAGAGAACCCACTGGAGGGTAACGTGGTTGAGCCCTTTCCAGATCTTGTTCCTGGAAGCAAATATCGATCTGGATGCTAAGAGCAATCACGTCATCCAGGGAGGAGGGTATGGTTCTTCCAGCTAGTTCGTCCTTAATACGGTCTGCTAGACCCTGCCAAAAGGTTGCAGAGAGGGCCTCATTATTCCATTCTAGTTCCTTCACACATGTGAAGGAACCAAGAGCAGCATGGAGGTAAGAGTAAACACACAAGAGGCTGCAAGCTAACTTGTGACAGAAAAGGGGGCATCCCTGTCTAGTTCCTCTCCCAGTAGACAGAGGAGCCAATTCAGAGACCTGGGCTGAAGGATTACAATATAAAGCCCGCAATAAAGTAAAAAAGGAGGAGCAGAACCCAAATGCACCTAACATCTGAAATAAATAGTCCCAAGACAGGGTGTTGAAAGCTTTATGAAGATCTAAAGACAACAGCAGAACTTCCTTGTTGAAGGTGTCAGGCAGTGTGCAAGGCAAGGCCAATCACTCTGCCAGACCAGCAGTGGGGGGCTTCCTGCATCTCATCACAGGACAGTGTATAAGTCCACCTGAAAAAGAAAACAAAGTCCCTGCCCGACGCAATCTATGGACTTCAGGCTCCAGTCCCCAGAGGTGAAGAGATGGAGCCCCCCTCAGCCCAGCTGGGAGAAGGATTGCTTGGGACTCTGGTGGGGAACAGTATATGATATACACCGACTATACATAGTGACATCCTACATGAAGTGTGAATCTGCCGGCCGGGCCCCCCTGCTAGGTGACAGGAGGTGGTACCCTCTTATCAGTGGCCCTGGGTGTTATTATTTGGCAGGAATATGGTTAAACACAAATGTCAATGGTATTATTATTAGTATTGCAGGAAGTGAATACTTACTTCAGTCATTCAGGTTTTTTTTTTTTTTTATTCCATAAAAGTTTATTTAGAAGTGACAACATGTTACAGGAAAATATAAAGAAATGCACACACACAGCATCAATCAGGCCATAGACACAGCTTAAACCAAAATACAAGACGAAACAACATGGTAGAGTGCGACACTGTGAAAAACATAAGCATGTGTCAAGGTACGGCAGAGATAGGCCTGTAGTACTCAAGTTACACAAATGTACAATATAGAAGGTAATCACAGCTTACTTCCAACAATTGAGTATTGGCGTACTGGCCTATGCATGGAGGAAATGAAGCTTCGGAGTCTAAACCAAAAGCAGTACGCTTCATTCAGGTTTTATATTGCTGGATTCCATTCCCACATACAGAGATATGTTTTTGGATTTGTTGGATGTAACGATACATATTGGTATATTGTGGATATTATGTGTTTAACATTAGAAATAATTTGTTTGAGTTCATTGTATTCCAAGGTTGTTAGGTACAAAAGATGTGAGATAATAAGATGTCTCAGGAAAACTCACCTCTTCTTTTTGTAGGATTTATAGGTCGAGTTTTTTCCTCCAGAATCACGTAAAGTAATACATTACTTGCAGTGACATGGGTACCAGCCTGTCTGAAACCAGACTGTCAGAAAAGCAGTTCTCTCGTAATTTAGGGATATCCTTTTGTAATGTACAGAGCTGAGTGAACTATTGGTGCTTTATAAATACTGTATAATAATATCCTTACTAGCCAAGGTTAAAGGTCAACCCATAACATGTCAAAGAAACCCAAATCATTCCCAATCCTATACTGCTCCCTTCAGGTCACTGAAATCAATTAGTAAAAAAAATGACACCTAGTCTGACGTTACTTGTAGGTGAAGATAATCTTTGCCCGCCTAGGTTTTTGGGGGGATAAAAGTAAGAGATGGAGTGAGATGGGGGACACTTCACCAAAAAGACATCACAAGACAGGAGACAAGGGACAACAGACGGACACAGACACCCCCTGAAGTGAGCGGACTGAAATCGGACATCACTGACACCATAGAGTCCATATTGGTAACTAGAACTTTCATTCTCCTCAGATAACTTGTACTTGTCTTATATCTCCAGATAAGTTGTTTAGTCCAATAACAATTATGATTAGCACAGGAGTTGATGTGAAGGAATTTTAACTTCAGTATAATTTATTTTCATTTCAATCCGCTAGAGAAATTCTATTTTAAATATCTCTGAAGCTGATTTTCCTTCTAGTCAATGGTTTAGCCGGATATATATATATATATGACAAAGAAGACAACTTAGTGTAACAACTGATCCTGACCTCACATAGATTCTAAGCTGATTGGATTGGCCTATGTATGGTATTCCTAATCAAGTCATGCCAAGGTACTCATTGAGCTTTGAATATCTGGTTGTAGAGAGATCACGGGGACGATTGGCATAGCCATTGTCACATGTTGCTGAGTTATTGATTGTTCCCTACGCTGCATTTCCAGACATTTGGTTCTAATCCTTCAATATTTGGAAGTCATTGCTGGTTTGAATTTCTAACCATTATATTGGATTAGATCATCGTACTGTTACTCTGGATTATTATTTATCATCACCTATTATATTTCATTATCATTTTGCACTGTTTTTTATTATTAATAAATATATATTTTTGCACATTGTTGCTTTTTATTTCATTTTCAAATTAGTACAAATAAAGAACTCGGATATCAATTGATTTATGAAAATAAGTAGGGAATTTCCTTCATTCCAGATCCCGCCTGTTTTCAGAAATGTATACGAATTAATATCTCAGACCTTAAGTTCTACAGAAATTGTAGAGAATGTTAGTCACCCCGTCCTTCCTTTTCCATCACAGTGCAGCCTGGGTGTCAGGATACCTCCCAACAATGTCCCCCTTCCATCATCTCATCACCATCCAATGTGGTCTACATTTTACTATTCACATTCTAAGCCTTAGTGGAGTGTATTTGCTAAAGCTGGATCACTCAGAATCTCGTGCACTTCTGTGAGGTAACCAATCAGCTTACCGCTTTTATTGCTAAAGCTTCATTGAAAAAGCTGAGGTGAGAAGCTGATTGGCTGCCATGCACAGCTGCATCAGATTCTGAGGGAATCAGCCTTAGTAAATCCCTCCAGTATGTGTGTTCCCCCCAATAGAACAGATCTTACTGTCCATCCACAGTGAAGCCGGCATTCCGGAGGACCTCAAAACAACGATCCACTTCTGAGTCCGACATCTCCTCCTTATCCAATGTCACCTCCAGTCTGGTCAGAGTTCGGTTTGTGGAGATCACGGAGCAAAGATCATCACAGCACGAGAATGTCACTTTACACCCTAATAATCTGGTGGGAGAAGCAGGAAAGAGAGGTGAGATGTTCTCCAATGACGGGCAGAAGTAGACACATTCCAATGAATAATCAGTGGGCGGGGTCTTAGAAGATGAAATGTTGGCCCATTTGGATGGATGATCTCATGGAATATTGGTTGGACCTCCCCTGTGAGATGGAGGTGAGTTGTCACCCACCTGAGAAGTCTTCGTGTGGATGGACACATTGCAGCGTACGTGGTGATGCACACATTGGAGGGGGAATGGCTCCATATAGATTCCCTTTCACACTAAACTGCGGCACATACAGTGAAGGAAATAAGTATTTGATCCCCTGCTGATTTTGAATGTTTGCCCACTCACAAAGAAATGATCAGTCTAAAAATGGAATGGTATGTGTATGGTAACACTGAGAGACAGAACAGCAACAAAAAATTCAAAATAAATGCATGTCTAACAAATGATGACTGATTTGCATGTTCATGAGGGAAATAAGTATTTGCTCCCCAATCATTCAGCAGGATTTCTGGCAACCAGGTGTCTTTCATACAGGTAACAAACTGAGATTAGAAACAGTCTCTTGATGGGGGGAGGAGCCTGAGTATGGTGCTGAACAGGAGATCGCTGTAAGATCTCCCAAACTCCAGCGTCCTGCCTCAGGCCTTTATGGCTAAGAAAAGATAGCCAGGAAGGAGGAGGGTGACTTACATGCTGCCATATCCTGGGGTGAGCTCCGATACCCGGCCTAACAACAGCGTACCCTCGGTGTGCTTGGAGATGTATGGGAGCATGTTGGAGAGAACCTGAGCCAAGGGATGAGGAGTTCTGGAGAACTGAGGCGCAGAGGATGCCGGCTGATCATGTGACCTGCTGCAGGGGAATCCAAGGAGAGAGACACCGGCCAGCATGCCGCACAGGAGAAGACATGCAGCACTGAGCTCCCCTCTCTCCCCTGTCTCTCTTTCTCCCATGTCTCCTTCACCTCCTTAGCTTGATCTCACCCTGGGAGCTGGAGTATATGAAAAATAAATGGTGGGAACTCCGGCCAGCACTGCTCTGATACAGGCGCACAGCTCAGCTCCCAGTGCTAGCAGATAAAAAGCAGTTTCCTATGTGGCATAGACTGACAGTACAAAAGTATAGCTGCAGAAGTGATATATTCTGAATTGGAGGGACCCTCTTTTGCAACCCCTTTGCCGATGAGACAGCCAGACGCCACACCCCCAGAAGCGAAGAAGTGAGAGCTAAAAGGGTGAGTGAGAGTGGCAGAAGAGAATGGACTGTACTATATGTTAAGTGTTAAATTGAAGAATGAAGTAAATATGGATGATTAAGGGAGCAGGCGCTGCACTCAGGGGACATTACGAAGATTAAAGGGGGTCTCAAATTTAAACGTATTTAAACGTATTTCATTATATTTAAATAGAGGATAGGAAAAAAGGAAAAATAAAAGAGAGAACGCTAGCTCCTGTAGGGGTTCAATGAGGGAGATCGGAGGAAAGAAAAAGGGGAAGATTTAATAGGAAGAGTGGATTATTGATCCCGCCAGATATTAGATACTGGAATTATATTATGAAGAACAAAGAAACAAAAGGAGGTGGGTCAAAGGCCCTCATATCAAGCTCAATTAAGAAATATATCCCCAGGCAGGATAAACGGACTCCCGAGAGGCAAAGTGGGATGGAGAACAACAGTGGTGAGAGACCCAGAATATCCCTGGGAATGTCTATTATTAACCAAAACCTAGAAGAAGCAGATATTGAGAAAATAAATGTTCTGCAGAATTTGGAAGATCAAGACTCACATTTGCCGACTAAATCAGAAATAGCAGAAATGTTTAAAGGTTTGGAAACATCTATAAAAAAAAGAGATGGTAAAGTTACATAAAGAACTGGGGCAGGTTCTTTCTAGAGTGGAAGAGATGGAAGAAAAAACAAACACACTCAAGAGATACAGACCTTAGAAAACAAAATGATGGAAATGAAAAAAGAAACAAAGAAATCTGTTATATAAATTGGAAGACCAAGAAAATAAGAATAGAAGATGCAATTTAAGGATACGGGGCTAACCAAGGATCTCCCAAGGAGAAGACCTAAGGGAAACGATAGAGAAAATGTTTGACACTATATAATGGACAGATCTGCAGCAGAACCCTATAAAATTGATGGGGTGTACAGAATCAGAAGATTACTTCAAGGAGGGGGGAAAAGGAAGATTGAGAGATGTCATTGCTCAATTCCATTACTATCGGAATAAAAGAGGAGATCTGTTAAAGGACAAAAGGAAGAGCTGTTATAACGTACAGAGAAACAAATGTACAGATCTTTGCTGATCTTGCTGCAGAGACACTCTCAAGAAAGAACATTTTGAAACCATTGGTAGAACAAATGAAGAAGCAGAGCGTTTGATATAGCTGGGGGTTCCCAGAATGTTTAATCAGGAGAAAGAATGGAGGATCTGCAAGATTAAAGTTTCCTGAAGAACTGAGAGACTTCTGTGAGAGACTTGAGTTGCAAAATATAGATATTCCTGGGTGGGGAGTGGGGGAGGAGGAGATATGGATTGGTGAGAATGAGAGGTGGCAGGTAGCATAGGAGGGAGGTGGAGGGTGAAGGGGAGTGAGGTGGGGAGGGGGTGTGTGGAGGAGGAGAGGGGGAAGTGGTAGTGGGTTTTTTTTTTTTTTTTTTTCCCTTTCTCCCCTCTTTTTCCCCCTGCCCCTTCCCTCTCCTCCTCCCCGCCCCCCTTTTCCTTCCTTTTTTTTCTTCTTTCTCTTCTGGTCTTGGCAGGACGTTGGGGGAGGGTAAATGGGATGAGGTGTTCATGTTCAGAGCTACAGCCTAAAGTGGAATCAAGAGTGAGATTAGGACCACAAATGATTCATAGGCAAATTATTGGCCTAAAAAGGGAGGGGATGGGAGGGGAGGATGGTAAGTGGGGATGGAAGGGTGGGTGGGGAGGGAGAAGGATATGGGGAGGGGTAATTGCAGGGGCGGACTGACCATTTGGAAACTTGGGCACCGCCTGAGGGTCAGTAGGGGGCCCCATAAGATGCCCCTGGTACCTTTTTCATAGGCTTTTTGAGTTTGGGCAAGGACACATCCCCTATTTCCCAGGGGCCCCATGAGTTGTGAGTCCACCCCTGGGTAGTTGACAGCCTTAGATTATGTGGGATAGTGGGAGGTACACTAGTCTGGATCCACAGACGGATGTGACCTCTCAGGTGCATAGAGAAGGTAGTAGGTTTTTGAAAAATCTGAAAAAAAATGTTATATCAATGTCAACTGGCAGATATACGGAGAATCAAGCATGTGAAGGATAGAAATTATAAATTTTACTCTCATGCACACGAGATGTACTCAAGACTGGATTACATACTGTTGGACCATCGACTTATCGAGTCTTTGGTTAAAGTAAACATAGAAACTATGTCGATTTCTGACCATGCTCCTGTCACAATGCAATTACTATGGGGAAATGAGCAGAGTGGAGAAAAATCATGGAGGTTAAATGAGACACTTCTTCAGGATCAAGAGTTGAATCAGGAATTTAAGAAGGAAATAGAGCAATTTTTCAAGGAAAATGATTCTGAGGAAGTGTCTGTAGCTACGGTGTAGGAAGCTCATAAGGCCTATATTAGAGGAATTCTAAAAGTGATAGGAGCAAAGAAGAAGAGGGAAAGAAGGGAAAAAATAAATACACTTTTTAGTGAACTCTGTAATTTAGAGCAGATACATAAAAATAAAGTAACAAAAGAGGGGTGCGGAAGATAATAAAAGAGATTTAAATAATTTCCTGGAAGAGGGTAAGAGGAGAGTTTTTAACAAAATGGTAAGTGAAAGATATAGATGGGGAGATAGACCAGGAAAATATTTAATGAGGGCCCAGAGGAAAAAAAAAAAATCAAGGAATGGAAAAAATAAGAGATGATAAAGGAGAATTAGTGTACTCAACGAAAGAAATAGCAAAAGTGTTTAAATAATATTATAATAAGTTATACAATATTAAGCCCCATGGTACCATAGAAGAAGAAGATGAAGTAAGAAAGACAGAAAAAAGACAGGCATATATAAAAAAAGGTGGGATTACCGAAATTAAGCGAACAACTAAAATCCTTGGAAACAGCAATTACATAGGAAGAAATACATATAGCATTAAAAAGCACTGTAGCTGGGAAAAGTCCAGGACCCGATGGGTATACAGTGAGATACTATAAAAAATATGAAGAAATATTACTACCAAAACTGAGGATATATATGAACGCTTTAGGAGGAGAGATGGAAATGTGGAAGGAATCCCTGCAAGCTCATGTCATCCTCATATGTAAGAAAGGTAAAGAACCCACTGTTCAAGTTAAAAACCAATTTCCCTATTAAATACAGATACTAAATTATATGCAAAAGTACTAGCAAACAAGCTGAAAGATTTAATGCCGAAATGGATACATATAGACAAAGTAGGGTTCATCCCAGGGAAAGAGGGTAGAGACAATGGATTAAGATCCCAGTTTCTCACAAAAAAAAAGTAGAAAAGAGAAAACTCCTGCGTTGGTACTCTCGATAGATGCTGAGAAGGCATTCGACAGAGTAAATTGGGGATATATGTTAGACACTTTGGAAGTTTTGGGAATTGGACCTAGAATGAGAGAATGGATAAGGAAATTATATAGTCAACCCTCGGCTGCAATCATGGTTAATGGGGAAAGGTCAGAATATATTGAGATGCAGAATGGACCAAGACAGGATGTCCTCTGTCTTCATTGTTATATGTTTTATCTCTGGAATCTCTCTTGACTACCATCAGGAATAACATAGATATAAAAGGAATTGGGTAGGAGAGATAGAGCATAAGGTTGGCAGCTTATACAGATAACATGCTGTTCTATGTAGGAAATCCAAGGATAACATTATCAAATTTAATGAAATCTTTAAAAGAATATGGTGAGATGTCAAATTTAAAAATGAATCCAACTAAAACAGAGATCTTAAATATAAACCTTCTAAATAGAGAGAAAAAATG